AAACTGTCAGCTGGTCTAACATCTTTAGCTGGCTGCTTTCACCTTTGCAAATTCTCTCATTTCTGCTTATCAAGTACATGTATTACTTGTTTTTTTTTATTTTTTAATTAATTATAATATATGCTTTTTTGCACAGCAAACTTATATATACATTTTCTGGATGGTCAGAGCCTATAACAGCTGTTGAACAAGTAAGATGTATATATTTTTTAAACAGCATTATCTGAAAAAAGTATTTTTGACAAATAACTGACTGAACATCACAGTACAGAATCCCTTTTTGTCCAAATCCTCTCTGTAGGTGGTTGCTCATCACTCTCTGTCACACTTTTAAAAGAACTTCTCTTCAACTCTTCCTCCCCCAAAACATCCCTTTCCCCTGAATTCTCCCATCTTGTAGTACAAGTGATGAGCTTACTGTTTTCTTCTACACCTGCATACACATTTACATGTAAGAGCTGCTTTCAACTCAGGTAGAGACATGGTTTTCAAAAGGCATTAACATTAGCATTGAAGTAGCTGGAAGTTAATGACCAAGACATGCGCAGAAAAACATGAATAGTTGAGCATGCCAAGAAGGATTTAAGAAGGAAAAATGAATAGTTAAGCATGTCAAGATGAATTTAAAAATGCTGTAAATCCCAGAGTAGGCACTGATTACTCAATGGCTGCCTCCTTCCACTAAGACCTACGAGGAATGAACTTTTTTTAAATTCTCTTTACAATAACAGCACATATACTCAGTATTCATGTTATTAGAATATACAAACTTATCAGCTAGATGAGATTATAATAATAGTAATAAAGACTTTATTTATACAGGGTAGCATGTAATAGCCACAGGCTAATAAACTTGTGGCCCTGATTTAATCAACTAATTAGAAGTTAAAAATAGAATAACACTTAAAATTATGAAAACAAAAAAAATCATGAATTCATAAATCATGGAGCTCTCATCTATGGAACAGAGAAATTCTTGACAGCCAGAACAGAGAAGAATGACTCAGAACTTGCATTCAGCAATAAAGCTTTTTTAGTCTTTAAGTCTTTTGCAGATGATTGTCTAAAGTATACATGTATGTTGACTAGGCAAAAATGTTCTGAGAAAAGGAACCAGCTGCTTAACTTTGAACTTGGGGTCCAAAATGGTACAAGGTATTTTTGCACATGTGCACAAAGTATAGAAAACAAATGAACTGAATGCTCAACTTTGATCAAGAGACCAATAATTTTTTTGAGTTGTATGTACAGTATGTGCAATGATGAGCAACACTTTCATGTTAATTTTTTTTTTTTTCATTTTGCTTTCACCAGGCTCCTGCAGTTGATGTGGTAGGTGTTGGCTTGCAGAGTGGAAAAATATTCCTGCATAATCTCAAATTTGATGAAACAGTTATGAGTTTTCATCAGGAGTGGGGTCCAGTCATTGGTTTGACATTCAGAACAGGTATGAGGCTGGTGATACCATTCGCCCAAATGTTCTTCTTTCCCCTTGCCTCCATTCCCTTCCCTTCCTCTTGGTAATTGTGGGTGAGAAGTGTTTGACAAAAAGAAAAGAGAGCTTTGGGAGACATCACTCTGACTAAGGGCTCATGCTCAAAGGGTCAGCCTTGAAACTCCTCATGGTAGCTAGTTTAAATTATCAACTCAGGTGGTAAATAATGGAAATTGCACTAAGTGGAATGCAATTTGGGCTGAAATCATACACGTGATTTTAAAATCGAACGAGCGCGCAGCGGGAGTTCGATTTGAAATCACAAGTATGATTTCAGACCAAAATTGCACGACATGAGGTTCAATTACCACTTTATTACATCCATTTTGAAATCGCCCAAATACAGGACTTGGTCAATTCAAGTATTTTACTGATACAGTACTAAGCCAGTTTTTAATAAAAAGCGGAACCTTAAACACTTTTACATCTTATTTTTTGTGTAAAACAGAAAGATTTTGACGTCATGTGACAAAAACTCAGTCAAGCGTAAAATGATTTGACTTAGAGCAAAAAATGGTGCGATTTGGGAATAAATCGCACCAATTAGAGCCAATCAGATTACAGGGACCACCAGTAATTTCAAAGTGGAGGCAATAAAAGCTAAAATCACTTTGTTATACTCCTCCACCGACGCAGCACCACTGTGTCTTTAAAAAATTACACCCTTCATTTTTGAAACACCAGTCACAATGTTCCACAATGAACCTTTTCAAAACTACTGCCATCCAAAACATTAGAAAACAGAGTTAATTAATCAAAATTAAATGTAGTGCAGTCTAATGGCATTACAACCCAAATATGATTGATTATTTTTCTATAGATGGAAACCCTGTCATGGCATCTGCTAGCACAGAAGGCCACATTGCATTATGGGACTTGGAAAAGCGCCGCCTCAGCAGCACATTACGTGATGCCCATACAGGTTCTGTCTGTGGCATAAGATTTCTTTCCTCACAGCCTCTTTTGGCTACAAGTGGTCCTGATAACTCTTTAAAGGTATGATGTTATTATTCTTAATACTTAGGTACAGAGGGATGCGACAATTTATCTAAAATGTCATACTGTCTTTGGAAATTAATTCAAGGCAATCAAAACTTAAGCTTGGTTCACATTTGTGAGATAAGCACAAGCATAAGCTCAAGGATTTTTGCACTGGTGACTTGCGTGTGAGCAGTGCTAGTCACATTGGTGGAGAAACAAGATGGTGCTCAGGCTTGTGTTAATTTTACACCAGTTCCCACTTGTGAAATAAGTATAACATAAGCACAAGAAAAAAAAATGTTACTTTTTCTTGTGCTTATGCTTCTGCTTATTTCACAAGCGTGAACCAGGCTTTATAGTCCTAATTAAATTGTAAGTAAATTAGACTACAGTATATTACAAATCCAGATATGACACTCAAAGACAAGTATGGAGGATAGCAATGCAGAATGGTAATTTAAGAATTTGGGTTTCTTATTCATACTTCAAGGTCTATTAATTGTGTACACCGACTTTCTACCAATGAAAGTAACTCCAAATTCAGAACGGGTCTTAGAATCAAATTCTAAATGGAGTGTCTGTGAATGAAATCCAAAGAGAAAATTGTCCTAGATTTTCAAGGTACAAAATTAATACTATTTTTGTGAACATGGATACAGGAGTTATTGTCTGAATTTTTGTCTGATAAAAGCTGTTTAACATCCTTCCTTGTGTCTGATGTTAAAGAGATCCTCCTCACGGGTTAATTGATAAAGTAAGAAAGTAATAATCCGATTTTACATAGCTTTTTATGGGGCTTCTTCATTAAATGTAGAAGCAGCATTATCCAGTGACCCTCTGCTGTGGTGGACTTTAGGTCTGGACACCCATAGTGTGAAGAACAATTTTTCCTGCCTTTTTTTGATTTTGCCATGTTTTAGCAGATTTGGATATTTGATCAACTAGATGGGAGTGGTCGACTTTTGAGGTCTCGTTCAAGTCATAGTGCTCCTCCAACAAAGATTCGCTTCTATGGAAATAATGGATTTAACATCCTCAGTGCAGGTATTACAAATAGTGTTATTGCATTATTTGATAACTCCTGGGAGGTTTAAAGATGCACTGCAACTGAAGCTAAACCATAAAATGTGAATTATGCGTAATGGTCACGAGTACTCTTACAATAAACAGTATATTAGGGCCTACTTTTTCAGAGGTTTTACACTTTTTCGCGTCAGACGAAAATGACATATGCACGTAAAACTGTCTGCAGAGCTACAAAACTAAATCAAAGGTTGATTGGTTGGTGGCTCACCCTCAGTTAGCTTAAAGGCATTACGACCATGACCCACCCGGGGCCCTTTTCTCGAAAGTCCCGGTAACTTAACGGGCGCGAAGCCATGTTTTGAAAATCAAAAGTTAAAGATTAGAGAAGTACGTTCTGGCAACCTCACCAGTCCATTTTGTTTCATTAGCTGCTAGTTTTATTGTATAATTCTTAAAACGTTTGAAACCCCGATCTTGAGTGAAAACAGAACAGCTTTACGGGCCTGTCAAGTTACCGGGACCTTTGAGAAACGAGCCACGGCTGATGTTAAAAGTGCTTTCTGTTTCTGTAATAGAAGGATTTGAATATTTGTGTTGTGGCTCTAAAGATATAGTAACTATTACGTTTGCACCAATTATAGCGGTGCTCCCATACGCATGGAATATGGTCAACCTCTTTTCGTTTGGTTGTCACGTGACTGACCGAGGGTCCGTACGTACGTACGTGCCTTCAGATTGCACGGGTAGGGTAGGGGAGACTATCAAAACGAAGGGAGGGGTGTCTCAGGCGAGTCTGGGCAAATGCATATCATTTATGTTATCATTGACATTACGAACTTGGGAGCTCCGCTTTTAGGCTTGGCTAAATCTATATATTAGTATTTTGAAAAAATAAAACCACCTAACTTGCTCTGTGCAAATTATCTTCAAGGGCTGGATAGAAGCTTGAGGTTTATTTCTGTAATAAAAGACGAACGAAGCTGTGAATTTTCTCAAGGTAAGTAAGTTAGCTTTTGAGCGTACATCATGGCTGAGAAGTCAATCACCATCACCTAACTAACCCATGTTCCCTAACGACAACTCTGTCCTTCAGCTGTTTGACTAAAAACACCAGCTATTGCTTACTTAGTATTTGATTTACTAACTCTTTTAAAATGCTCCTGAAGAATCAGTAAATTCTTAAGAAACGGAAAAGCGAATTTTTTTAGAAAAATATACTAACAAATATGACGAGAAAAAGAAATCCATAGATGCGACGAGACAGAAACTTGCCAAATGCCGAGGTAATATACGAAACACGAAACACTTTTAGGAAGAAGGTTTATATCGATGCAAGTGCCTGACACTAATCCAACGAACGGTGGTGAGATCTTCTTAGTTTACCAATCAGAATTTTGGAGTAAAAGAGTTAACTCCCTATCTTTGCTTCTTTTCTACAGGCTCGTTAACAAAGAAGTCCAAGAATCGTGGAGTGCATGTAGAAGATTTGAAATTAGCACCCGTCGTGGACTTCTCCTCTGGTTAGTTGCTGTTCGTTCTAGGAAATTTACAGGCACGCTCCAGTACAAAATACTCGGATTTTTTTTTACTCTAAGTATGCCCTCTTCTCAATGTGGACGAGTTGGTGTGTGTATATTAGCAGTTTTTGTCACAGTGTGGCTTGGAATAATGTGTTCAGAGTGCAAATGCAAGTGGATCACTATTATAAAAAGATGCTGAACGAGTTTATCCTTGATTTCGTTTTAAGAGATTTCTCGCGAGAGTGCGTGGGACAACATTGTCACTTGTCACCAGGGACATAAAGAAGCCAGGACATGGAGCTTTCAGAGAAAGTGCATCGGAAAACATCACCTGAAATCGCGTGCTGGGGAAAATGCAGGACCCATCATGGTTTGTACCTTAATGTTTTGTCCGTTGATGTCACTGATATGATTGTGGGTCGCGGCGTTTCTAAACACATGTACGAAATGCGCCAACGGCAGTTGAGAACCAGCTCAGGCTAATCGGATGAGAGCAATGTTTTAGAAGTTGAGACGAGACTAGTCGACCAGATCATATGAAGAATACCAGCGGTCTTGATTTGAAACTTGGAGAATTGTATCGGGAGTGACTGCATCTTGAAGCAGTGCTAGTAGATCTTTTTCCTCGCAGCTTAACTTGATTTGCCACGTAGCTCTTTCGTCGGTTTTCCATTGTTGCGTTTTTTGTCAATACGGATTTTTACTCTGATCTTCGTGTTTTATAAAGCTTATAAACAACAATGGAGTACATGGTATAATTTGTATCGGACGTTACTGCATCCTGAGGTTAACAACAGTATTTTTAAATCTTTTTTTTTTATCCGCAACTCAAATATTGAGTTGCGACATAGCTCTTTCGTCGGTTTTCCATTGCTGCGTTTTTTGTCAATTAGGATTTTCACTTCGATCTGCGTGTTTTATAAAGCTTGTAAACAGCAATAGAGTACATTGTGCCAACACTGTGTCCCTTACAAACTTTGTTATCCACAGACCACAGCTAAGAGTTCTTGTGGGAACTTTGCCATCATCGGAGACGCCCATGGCTATGTGAATATGTTTAACGTTCAGTCGGGAATTCATAGGGGATCCCTTGGGGAACCAAAAGGTTTGTTTTAATACAACTCTTATTCGTCATGTAGCAGAAGAAGCGGCGGTCCAAAGGTTCGCGCGCTGGATCGAGGGGTCTGGGTTCAAGACCTGGCCGAGTCATTGTGCAGTGCTCTTGAGGAAGACCGTGACTATCTCTAGAGTGCCTCTCTGCATCCAGAGCCTAGTTGTTCATAGAGTGGATAACAAATCCTACTACGCTATGTACCTGATAGTAAGTTATTCAGCGGATAGCGTTATCCATCCTTCGAACAGCCGGGGCCAAGGATATATATGTATGGGCAACGGCAATCTGTCAAGGAAGCCTTACGCAATGCTAGTCAGGGGAGGTGGGGTAGGGGATGACCTGCGATTGACTTGCATCCCATTGGGGGAGGGGGGGGATGGACAGGAGGATTTAGAGCCCTAGATCGACCTTGGAAAGACACTGATGAGAAAACTGTATTACTGCGTTGCGCTGCCATTCTGCTAAGCTCAATGAATGATAATAAATTTTTAACCTTTGCTTTTCAGCGCACAATGGTCAAGTGAGGGGCGTGGCTATTGACAACATCAATCAACAAGTGATGACTGCAGGAGCCGATTGCAAGTTAAAGGTAACTGGGCAGCTTTCTTTCTCCAAGCTTGTAACAGAGATGTTAAAATTTTGTATAAAGCGTGGAACAGAGATTAAAGTGACTCCTTAATTGGGATTCGAACCCCAAACAGTTCTGATTTTGACGGAGAATGTTCAACCAACTGAGCTTCCTTAAACTTGTTAATATGCAGCTCATATTTAGACTCGGCATCGGGCGATTCTAGCTTCCAGTCTTCGTTCCTCTTGAAAAGAAAATCTTCGGAGAAGGAGCGCGGGTGTATCTCCAGTTCAGCGGCTGGTTATCGAGTCGAGGGTCGCACACCAGGTTCATTTGTGACAAGCGCTTTAAGTTCTGCCAGGATCAGTGATATAGACCACGTCGTGTCATATCCTAACGCGTCGTGCAACGGGTCGTTGTTGAGGACGAAAGGTAATTGATTGTAAGTGCGGTTGTCACATTGTTCCTTTCTTCTTGCAGTTTTGGAATTTTAAAGCTCGGAATCTTCTTCAGAAAATGACATTTGAGTCACCAATCACTCAGATTTTACTACATCGAGACAGGTAAGGGTGATACAGTAATATTATAGTTAGCTGGTTGATTTATATCGCTAGTTTCACATATCGCAGCGCGTTATTTAATAACAGTTTTTTTCCTTTTTTCGCAGTTCTTTGCTGGCCGTTGCTTTTGAAGACTTCGAAATCCACGTTGTTGATGTGGATATGAAAAGAGTTGTGAGAATATTTCAAGGTCATACCAACAGAATTACTGACATGGTAAGTGAAGCCTCAGGCCTGCATCTTCTATAAAGCGCTTTCGAAAATATTTGGTGTTCTTTGAAATCTTAAAGTTCCTTCTGGTTGAGTACCATCCGTGTTTTGAAGGAGTTTCGCCACGATTATTTGAGTAAACTTTGAGTACTTTAAAATGGAAGGGAACGTTTGAAACAGTGATCTGCTTGGGAAGACAAACAACAAGAAATTAAGGTGAAAATAAAAAATCAAGAATCGTCGGGGATGGTCAAGGATGGGTAAGATTGGCACACAGAAAATGACGAATCAAAAAAAATAGAAAACTTTCTTTTCTGACCCAGTCTACTCAGTTCTCTTTAGTTCCCAGGTCTGGAGTCCTTTTCCCTTCCTCTTGGCTCCCTTGTTTTTAATGAATTTGCACTCACCCACATACAACTCCACGGGATTAGATTTTTCGGCATTAATGAGTTGGTTCGAGTGATCAAGAAGGAATTCCCTGTGTTCTAAACAGAGTCCATCATTGGCCTTCTTATACAGAATTTTTGCCGCTAATAATAATCCCATTTTGAATTTCAGTCCTTTAGCCCAGACTGCCGTTGGTTGATTACGTCGGCAATGGACTCTAGCGTGAGAACCTGGAGTCTACCAGCTGCTAGGTAAAGAACTTAGTGCCTGAAGTAGACATATCAAGTCAACAGAAAAACGAAACAGGCATGCTCAAAAGTAACCGAACAATAGACCGATCTCCACTGAAATTATCATTGGAAGAAATCAATAGAGTTCAGTAGTTAACGCGATCTTTTTTTCTTCTTTTGGCGTTAAAATGTTCATGTAGATAAGCCCAAATTAGAGTTCCTCGCGAAACTGTATCGTACTTCACGGGCTTTTAGGGTTGTACTTTACTTTTTACTGCGCACAGTTGAACTGTGAATATGACGAACTTACCCATTATCGGGGTTGATGTTAGAGACACTTTTAAACGGAACATTGTAGACGCTGAAAGCTTGTACTTATTTCATAAAAGCTTGTACTTATTTCATAAAAGCTTGTATTATTTTATAAAAGCTTGTACCTATTTCCCTTGCTCAAATAGCGTTCTGTTTTTTGTTAGGCTAATAGACTGCTTTCTCGTGGAATCACCTGTTACCAGTTTAGCAATGTCACCAATTGCAGACTTCCTCGTTACTACACATGTGGACGACCTTGGAGTGTATTTATGGTAAGACCGTGATGAAGAAGACCTCAAGTAGTCTTCCTTTTTCTTAGCTCAACGAACACGAATGGAAGGAAATGCATAAGTGTAGAATGACTACACCCTCCCCTCCCTCAGCTTTTTCGTTGTTTTCTTTATTTTACATTTTAACTTTGTATCTTCTTTGCTTTTTTTTTATTTATCTTTTCATTTATCATTTATTTATAAACTTTCGCCGTCAATAAAGAGAAGCGTATTGAGATCGATAGATTGGGGTTATAGCTGGGTTTTATGTTTTTTTGAAAGCGTCTATTTGAACCCAGAAGTGGAAATGGGTATAATGGGACTTTTGACGATTTGGTGGGGAGTAACCTGTGATAAACTCGCATTCCAAAGTGGGGAGAGGAGAGGGGGAGGGGGCGGGGGTGGGTTTAGTATTACTCTCAGCCCCTTCATGCTTTGTGACGCGGGATAACCTCAGGCTTCATGACGCGTTTGCGTGACCCTCTTGGTTTTTTTATTGCCTTTTTAATGGTGGATGTGAAAGATTTACGGTATCCGATGCTTACTTCTCCTTTGGTTTGACAGGTGCAATAAAACTTTGTACGATGAAGTTTCATTAGTTCCTCTTCCTGCCGATTATCAGCCGACTTTGGAACAGCTGCCTTGTACAGGAACAGATGCAGACAAAGGTAAAATAACAAGATAATTTGGATATATCAACAAAGTTGAAATGGTAAATTGGCCACCGTAACGATTACAAAAGCTGACGTTTCGAGCGTTAGCCCTTCGTCGGAGTGTAAAATAACAAGATCAATCGTGGGTTCAATCTGAAATGAAGCCCGGTTGTCGTCACAACATTTGGTTGTAATGATAAAGAACGGCGAAAATGGATGCTGAAGTTTTGTTCAAGCCTAACGGGTTGAAAGGAACTCTGTCGCGATGCGTTCGTCTTCAAAGATTATATAATCTGAGATGGTCAGTTTCGTCTGGAGTAATTACTTTATATTCTAATTCGCTACCCTGCTCAAACGAATATGAAACATTTATCACTTAATAAGTAACCATAATTGGGGTGTGTCAACACGAGCCGTATGCGACCCTCTTTATCATGCCTTCGTCAACGAAATTTATAAGAATGGTACATCAACTGAATGAAAACCCGGAAATGAAAAAAAAAAATAAAGCAAGAAAAACCACCCTACAAAACAATCTAAACTATGTACGTTTATGAAAAGAACTATTAAGAATCACCCTAGTCACTGGATATTTAATTTTGAGCGCGCAGGGACGGTCGTAAGTCGCGAATGAATATAAATGACAACAGCTACCATTAAATGACAACAGCTACAATATAGCCTACCGCTAATGAAGCAATTGAAACAACATACCATGCAACACCCCAAAGAAAGGGTTACGTAACCCATGATAAATACATTTCTGACCAAAGGACCGCAATTTCAAAGCTACCGGTCAAATATTAGTTCATCGACCAGCACAGTTTACCACAATTATACATGTTGACCTCTACACGTCAGGGCTCGACACTAACTTTTCAACTTACTAGCCGGCTGGTGACATCTTAGATGCTACGACAATATCAGTTCGTTTACTAACCAAACTGGCTTGTGGAAACCGAAAACCACTAGCCAAAACCGAATTTCTGCTAGTCTGTGGCTAGTGGGCTACCGTTAGTGTCGAACCCTGCACGTGCGTAATAATATTTTGAACGTTGTTTTAGAATTTGGCGACTTAAAGGAGACAACAACAAAAGGAGAAGGAGATGCATCTAGTGCTGCTGACACTACCGCTGGTTATAAGAGCCCTGACCAGCTCTCTGATGAACTTGTCACTTTGTCTCTTCTACCAAAATCAAGATGGCGGCATCTCACGAGCTTGGAGCTAATAAAGGTCAATTGACTGTGTGTGTGTGTGCGTGCGTGCGTGCGTGCGTGCGTGTGTGTGTGTGCGTGCATGCGTGCGTGCCTCTCCTATCGTTGTACTTTACGTTCTATTTTCCGTTGCTCAAACAGAAGTCATGTTCAACCAATAACTACTTTATATTGCCTAATTTCTTTTCAGAAAAGGAATAAACCACGGGAGCCACCCAAGGCGCCCAAAGCTGCTCCATTCTTTCTGCCCACCACTCAGGAACTGGTGCCTAAATTCCTTCAAACTGAAGAGGATCAAACCGATGAAAAGGCGAGTTTTTCTCATAGGGTAATCTTTAATATTGTCCAATGATACTTTCATGCAGTGTGTAACTCTTAGAATAGTCTGTGCTAGGCTCTCGCAAAAGAGCGAGTGCGCATAAGTTGAGGACGGAGTTGAGGCTATGAAAAGTATGGAAGAAAACGTTATCCAGTCGTTTTCCTGACAACCACAATTGCTAGTTGTGGCAACACAGCGGTCAAACATCAGGCATGCGCAAGGGGATCAATTTTGGCCGCCCGCGCGCGAATTGCCCACCCAAAAGTTGAAAAGAAAACATGAATAACAACCATTGTCCCAAAAAATAAGCGAAAAGTAAATGACACGTTCATAGACATCTTTAAAAAACAAGCAAAAGTAAAGAAAAGGGAAACTCTAGACTTTCGAACACAAAGCCTTATCAAATACAATGAAATATATGAAGTTCATATATTTTTTGAACTGCGGTATTAGATACGTATGATGCACGATCCTTGCAGTAGATAGCGCTATTTAAGGAATAGCGAAAATCAGACCTGAAAAAAATCAGGCCTGTACGGGATTCGAACCACTGACCTCTGCGATACTTGTGCAGCGCTCTACCAATTGAGCTAACAAGCCAACTGGGAGCAGGCCGTTAAGTTGATTCGTAATAAACCCGTGAAAGTGATAAATCAGATACAATGAAATATATGAAGTTCATATATTTTGAACTGCGGTATTAGATACGTATGATGCACGATCCTCGCAGTAGATAGCGCTATTTAAGCAATAGCGAAAATCAGACCTGAAAAAAATCAGGCCTGTACGGGATTCGAACCACTGACCTCTGCGATACTAGTGCAGCGCTCTACCAATTGAGCTAACAAGCCAACTGGGAGCAGGCCGTTAAGTTGATTCGTAATAAACCCGTGAAAGTGATAAATCAGATACAATGAAATATATGAAGTTCATATATTTTGAACTGCGGTATTAGATACGTATGATGCACGATCCTCGCAGTAGATAGCGCTATTTAAGCAATAGCGAAAATCAGACCTGAAAAAAATCAGGCCTGTACGGGATTCGAACCACTGACCTCTGCGATACTAGTGCAGCGCTCTACCAATTGAGCTAACAAGCCAACTGGGAGCAGGCCGTTAAGTTGATTCGTAATAAACCCGTGATGATAAATCAGATACAATGAATATATGAAGTTCATATATTTTGAACTGCGGTATTAAATACGTATGATGCACGATCCTTCGCAGTAGATAGCGCTATTTATGCAATAGCGAAAATCAGACCTGAAAAAAATCAGGCCTGTACGGGATTCGAACCACTGACCTCTGCGATACTAGTGCAGCGCTCTACCAATTGAGCTAACAAGCCAACTGGGAGCAGGCCGTTAAGTTGATTCGTAATAAACCCGTGAAAGTGATAAATCAGATACAATGAAATATATGAAGTTCATATATTTTGAACTGCGGTATTAGATACGTATGATGCACGATCCTCGCAGTAGATAGCGCTATTTAAGCAATAGCGAAAATCAGACCTGAAAAAAATCAGGCCTGTACGGGATTCGAACCACTGACCTCTGCGATACTAGTGCAGCGCTCTACCAATTGAGCTAACAAGCCAACTGGGAGCAGGCCGTTAAGTTGATTCGTAATAAACCCGTGATGATAAATCAGATACAATGAATATATGAAGTTCATATATTTTGAACTGCGGTATTAAATACGTATGATGCACGATCCTTCGCAGTAGATAGCGCTATTTATGCAATAGCGAAAATCAGACCTGAAAAAAATCAGGCCTGTACGGGATTCGAACCACTGACCTCTGCGATACTAGTGCAGCGCTCTACCAATTGAGCTAACAAGCCAACTGGGAGCAGGCCGTTAAGTTGATTCGTAATAAACCCGTGATGATAAATCAGATACAATGAATATATGAAGTTCATATATTTTGAACTGCGGTATTAANGCGATTTGCATTCGTGGCTTACCGATTACATGTCTGCACGTAAACAATTTGTCCAAATATCAGGATATCAGTCCGAGCACAAAACCATCACACATGGAGTTCCCCAAGGCTCAATACTAGGGCCAAAATTATTTTCAATATTTGTAAACGATCTTCCAGAATCAATAACTAGTGGTGAATTATTTATGTTTGCCGATGATACCACTATTTTTACAATTGGAAACAACATCGACGATATCATCTTAACACTCCAGTCTGTACTAGACCAGCTGTACACCTGGTGTCAATCAAACAGATTAATCGCCAACGAATCGAAATCTGAAGCCCTGATAATTTCTAGCCAGAACTTTATTGGCCCCCTGCCACGCTTGGCCTTTGGTAATAGCTTTATTGAGTACAAAACATCATCTAAATGTCTTGGGGTGACAATTGACAGCAAGCTATCATGGCAGGAGCACATAAAGAACGTTTGTAAGTCATTCAGCAACAAAGTTGCAGTACTGAATCGGATAAAGTTTTTACCGATACCAACCTTAGAAAACATTTATTATAAAACTATTATCCCTAGCGTTTTGTATGGCATTGTAGTCTGGGGGTCTTGTTCTTCAACCTTGACGGATGATATTGATCGAATTCATTTAAGAGCTACTAGAATTATTTACAACCTACCCCATAGCATCCACAGTGATGACATCATGAACGCTCCACACTGGAACTCTATTGTTTCATTTTACATCAGGAGACTTTTAGTTATTACGTACAATATCTATCATGGAAATAGCATTGAGCCTCTAAATGACTTAATAGTGAAATCCGAGACTCCTTATGACTTAAGAAAATCCCTAAAAGTTAAGGTTCATAGACCAAGAACAGAAATGGGAAGATCTTCGTTTAAGCACAGAGCTGCACTATCCTGGAACCTCCTTCCCGAAGACATAAAGAACAGTTCAAACTTAACTTCCTTCAAGAGAAAACTCAGGGAAAATAAGAGAATTCTGAAATCTATCAGTTTTGCTAAAGCTTCCTGCAGCGTTTCCTACAAATCTGTTGACTTTAAATACTTTTAACATTTACTCCGTATTGTTATTAATATTTATTTCCTTTAATTGTCATTATTTACATACCATTTTCGGTCTATTCACTAATTAGGTATTTATTAATTGATAGTTTAGTTGATGCAGGTCCACATCAGGACGTAATGTCTTGCCTATCCCTCAACCTGCTTTATTAAATAAACCATGATGATGATGATGATGATGATGATGACAATCTGTGCTCCTTAAAGCGAACGACCATGTGCTTCAACTAATGTGATACATTTAGGAACTTAGGCCTGTCGTGTAAGTGTCACGAAAGGTCAACGGACAAAAAAAAAAAAAACCGAGGGATCTCAAATATTAAATGGCGATCAAAACACCAGCTTGTGCATTTGTTTGTTGTTTCTGTGAGACACCGTAGTTCTGACAGCTCGAAAGTACGCCACCTAGTTATACAACGTTCGCTCATGTGCAAACGTTTGACCGCTGCGTTACTTGTGGCTCGCCTGTCGCTTTTCTACTCTCCTGACCGACTAAGAGCCTGGAATAGGGTTTAACTAGATGTGACTGATGTGAAAGTTCGCCTGGCAAACTGCTGTTTTAATAATAGACAGACCAATTCAAGTGTTTTCTTCGTAGAACATCAAATTCTCTCAACTACCCTCAAAAAATCATATAACAATTGGAAAGTAGAATTACTGCATGAGATATCGAGAATTCATTTAAAACTGCATTGCCTTTACTTTTTTCAGGATGCCAACTCTAAAATTCTGGACATGAAACAGCTTGAACAAGATTCGGAATTTCAAAAGCTTTTAAAGGAGGGTTCGAGCTCTGGAAATTGTGAGTAGCTAGCTATCATGATATGATAATGTTTTGGTTGTAATTAGATACTTCTAATCGGCGTCTCGAAAATTTCCGAAATCTTCTCTGCCCATGTTCTGGCCGTTGTTATGTCGTCGACCTGTTTGAGCACACATCTAGGTCAGGTCAGCGAAGATGTAAACTATGTTGATGGGTTGACACGGTAAGAAAATGGTCTTCGTAGTTCTCAGGCTTGGTTTTGATTAGATAACACGACATTTCGTCGGATTTGAATCCAATATTGATAAATTCGTTCCATGCCTTCTCGTATTTCTATCTGAGATATCAGAGAAGTGAAGAACGGACCAAACTTACAGGGAATTTGTACCTGTCTCTACAGAAATGACCTTTATTCGGTAATATACATTTCATTTATTAGAAAATTTGGAAAAAAGAAATCGCAGACTGTTAAGTGGTTGGTGTGATTTGCAATACCATGGTCACAGGAAACTATTTGGCTATGGAAAATTCTCGATCGTCATTTCTCAGGGAATATGAGTAACACTTATTTGACATTCTTCTGCATTCTTACCTTTTCTTTTAAAAATAATATGTGAATTTCGGTCGCCATTTGAAGAAGTATCCAACGGGAAAAAAAATTTTTTTTCGGCTCAGTGATACTCTAACTCCCGACAGTTATTTTCCATGCTTCGGCCTGAGCGGATCTTTTACCGATTGATTCAGGCTGTCAGTCGGAATGAAATCGGCATCAGCCTTCGTTTTAAATCGCGTAAATGTTAAAATTTATTCTTCGTAGATGAACTTTTCCTTGTGCATCTCAAGTCCATGGGACCCTCCTCAATCGATGCAGAAACTCGATCTCTTGGTCCGTCGGCGGGTGGAGACGTCAAACTTGTTGAAGCATTCATGTTGTTCTTAGAGCACCAGTTACAGTCCCGGCGAGACTTTGAGTTCACAGAAGGTATCATGGGTCTTTTTCTTAAGGTGGGTAGTATTCTGATGTACATCCAAACTCTCCTCTCAGTATCCAACTTTGGAGGGGGGCAATTGGGAGTGCCAAAACCCAGTTTGAAGATTTTGGGCCATCATATAGTATGCTTGCGCATTTCTCAACAACCTTTGTTCCATATCGTCAGAGTAAGGAGAGGGACTGGTTAGGATGGTTAATATTTCAATCTTTGGATTGCTTAGCGTCTCCAATCACCTCGTCCTTGTCTCTCATTGCTGGAGATGACTATAATGTCACACATTTGAACATAAGAAGTGAATACAGTGAAAATTAACGTTTCTGTGTTAGATGAACATTTTTGTGGCCACTGCCTCCCAGAGGGGGCGAAGCCACATATGTTGTCGAGATGAGTGAGTGAGTGAGTGAGTGGGTAAGCTTAACAATAGCATTCCGACGTTGACCCAATTTTGAGCGGAGTTTTCCCACAATTGCTCGTAAAATACATGGCTCATTCTGTTTTATCTCGTAACCTCTAGCTTCATGGCCCATTGATTGCCGAGCAGCCCGAGCTGGGAGAGGTAACCACCCGTTTGCTTGAAGAACACAAAGCAGCATGGTCAACCATCCGGGACTTACTGAACCAGTGTTCGTGCCTTGTAAATTACTTAAAAAGTGCAGTTATATGACTTTCAAAACGCAACATCCAGCCGTCGGTGACTGCTATGACACTGTGCCCAGCTGGAAGAAATGAAGGTTTTTGTTGATGAAAGTCACGATGTTCACTCAAGGGGAGTCATTTTTTCGCTAACACTCCGTTTCATCTCCGTTTGACAAAAATTGCAGACTGTGCAATTACCACCGAATGACAATTAGCGAAGATTTCGAACACAGTTTTGACTAACGGCAGCCGCTGTGCATTGCATGGGCTAACCAAGCGGCAAACCCGTTGAACTGTTTGCGCTAAAATACCTTTGCTTCCATTTTCAATGAACCACCATTTTGATATTTATTCGTAAGAAACTTTAGAGAGTATTATGTTGGGGACCAGTCACCTGACGGGGGATCGGAGGTTTTTTTAAGGGGGGGATTATGGTTTTCAGGTGGAACGAAGGGGGAGGGGATCTGTTGTCGCTAACATAGGGGGGACCAAAGAAAATTGAATGCCAATAAGGGGGGATCGTTGGAGTACTACAGAGCCTTGGGAAGGGAGGGGGTGTATCAGGTAAATTTTATTGTGCCATGACCCAAATCTTCTGAACCCTTGCCCCTCCGGGGATAATTAATGGCCAGACCCTTGCTAATAATTAAATTTACAAATGAATGAATAAACATGCAAGAATACTGATAGAAAAGTTTCATTATGAGAACAATAGGCGGTAATTACTCTAAATAGCTTAAGTATCGCTGTTATACTCCTTGCCCGGGAAATAAAAGTTATATAAAAGGTATTCATACTTCACGTAGCTTAAAAAAATCCCACACAGCTAATTAGACGGTTATAGTGATCTGTGTTCAGATTCAAATGCTTTAATTTGAAGGGATACTGAAAATTCTGTGTTCAAATTTATCTAACTGTTCACACTGCTCAGCCAAATATAGCTCCAAGAAGAAAAGGTGAACTCTTGGCGCGTATATACATGATCCCTTTCCAGCGTAACGTTAAATGGTAAATCATTGTTTAACCCTGACAGCCGGTATCCATGGTTACTTCCCACACATGAAATAGGATATGAATAACACTTTTTCCGGGATGTTACATATCAAGACCGATCGGCACCCGGATAACAAGTCTTATCTTATCTGCATTCTTTACTTGTGGTTGGCCAATCTTTTTCCTTTTGAGGTAACTCTTACAGTCTTTCTCTTATTACTTAAAAATTACAATGTTAAATCTCTAAGTTTCTCTTCCTCTTGAACTTCTTTTTTTGGGGGCCAAATTATAATAGTTGTTGTGACCAATTTTTATTCCGAGATTTTCAGAGGATCGATCGAATCAAAACATATGCAAAAGCCGAATCGAACATTCACCGAACGTGTATTGAACAGTGTTGTCCGGTTATGTCCAGAATCTGTGAAGTACTCCGAGGTAAATTATTTCGTACTGCTGTGCGACGACCGCACGCGCTATATGTATGTTCAAGGGAAATACGTGCGCCATCATAACAGCCTCCTAAGAAGGTTTTTAATTCTTTTAATTGAAAACGATTTTCGTGTCTCCGCGTCTAGCGAGACTTGTCTGTACACGCACTAAGGCCAATGTCAAAAACAAGTGCCACTGACCATAATAAATCGAAAATCCGCCGACGGTTAAAACCTTTCGTAATTCGTTTCAGTTTTCCTAAAGGACCCTTTTAAGGAACCTTTTTAAAAGACTATATCAACAAATTTTATCGCGCTTTGCTTTCTCCAAAAATCGATCAAAAAGTTCAAAATACGCCTAGATGGCAGAGCAATGAAAAATAGTCAACTTCGGCAACTTCGTACGCCACAGCGCATTGCATTTTTGTCATAACAGCTCGAGCTCTTTTAAACCTGGACATGCTGCTTTTGCTGAGCCAAGATAGATAATTTGAGGAATTAAACTTCAAGGATAAAGCTTTAAGATTATGTCGATTATGATTTGTAAATGTATGTGGCTTACCTTTTTTAGGCCATTGAAGTTGACCTCTATTTTCTCCTTGCGAAAAAGACGCGAAGTACGTTATTTCAGCAGCGGGTCACTATTTAGACTTATAAGTAACAACATAACAAGAAACATATATTTTCAAAGAGAAAAAAGGACCATATGAAAGCAAAAAAATTTTAAAGCAAAACTGCATCGTGTTATGGCGTATGAAGTTGCATAATTTTTCCTTGCTTAATGGTGCATTTAGAGCGTGTCCAAACAGGTCTTGAAGCTCGAATGAACTGCTTTTTTTTTTTAGCCAAAATAAGCCAAGTACGTTCTGTGGAGTGAAAAGGCTTTTGAATGTACTTGCCTTTTTGGTGATTTTTGTGACTTTACAGTCTCCACCACCCAACGATAACCATTACAATTTGTAGCATTGCTTGTTAAATAAATGTTCACAACTGTTTTTCTCGTTTTCCTAGAACAAACGGTTCACTGGTCAGACGAACTCGCTCTATTAACATAATAGCCGATATAACTAATTGATCACGCCAGCGAAGACATCTCCTACGGTACAGTGTAAATTTGTGTGTGCATAATGCTAGCCCTCTTCAGTCTTCTATGTCTTTGCTTTCGCAGTCAATTAGGAAAGAACGTTCCCTTAGTATTCAAACTTCACACAAAGCCGAAGCTTCTTAATGAACCTATTTCCTTCGGTTTCTCCGGATTCGAAAATAGAATATGCAATAATGGCAAATGATGTTTTTCAAATTTCCCTCAAATTGTTGGTTGGCACATTATGGTAAAGTATCGAAATTTGAAATGCCTCGCCTTGATTCTAATTCTCCCCTTTTAATACATTTATAGTAAAGAAAGTGTCAAAAAATATTATAGGAAAATTCATTACCTGACGAGGGAATTCCGCGTTCAATTGTACGGGAATTCACGATTCAGGTAATGAATTTTCCTTGAATCGCATCATTGAATAAAAATAGGAAAACAAGAAAATAGCGATAATATTGTTTGTTTTCATCCTGAGCGCGCGCCACAGAAAGCCATTTTGAAGTCAACTTATCAGAACTGTCATTGCGTTGGCGAATTGGAAGCAAGGTCAGTCGTGCACGTTAGGGCCTGGCTAAACTAGGAGACTTTGTTGCGGAAACATTGTTTCCTGTCATGTTTCCGGGGTGGCTACATTAGCGGGAAACAAACAAAATGTTTTGCCGCCCCATTGGCTTAACGAGGAAACATTGTTTCGGAAAACAAATGAGCTACGCATGCGTGTATGAATAAACTGACTTCAAGGAAGTCTGGGATCAAAGGATGTTCACATTTCCATTGTATCAAAGCCCTTTGTGGCATTCTGCACAATAATAAGGAACTTCAGCGTCTTGTACCACTTCCAAGAGGAGTGGTACACAACGCTTGTTTGTTGACCGGACTTCTTTTTTTCTTTCCAGGGCCCGTTCCCTCATAAATTGTGACCTGATAAATTTCCACTTGCTCTTTTAATCCTCCCGGCTGATATCATGTTTTTCTGTCATCAGAAGATCGATTTGCGAATACGCCACCTCCTTACTGTCCCTGTTCATGTAGTCCTTATGACCCACGTTCCAGAGACAAGGCCTTTCCTCATACAGCGTAATTAGCATTTCAATTTCTTCATCTTTCTAATTCCTTTCCCTTCAGGCTTTCCCTTTCTTTGAGCGTGACCTGCTTGAATTTCTTCGCAGTCAGCCATTTTAATTGCTGTCTGCTCGCCGTTGCTATGA